TCCCCTCCCCTCCCTCCCTTCCCTCTCTCCCTCCTCCCTTCCTCCCTCCCTCCCTCCCTTCCTCACTCACTCACTCTCTTCTCCTCGCTTTCTAGGTGAGGAGAAAGCATCGCACTTAATGTGTTTGACTTGCGGTGCCTGATCAGTGCTAGCTCGTTGTTTGTCATACAAGATTTGACTGGTACGTTCACCTCTGAACAAGACTAAGCCTGCCTGTTGCGAACCATGTTATTTCTGATTGCTTGAATGCACAAGAAATTGAGGCTTTTTATGGGCGTTTGTGGTGTATCACCTTGAAACACGCTTCCAAATAACTCAGATGGATAAATCACAATGATATGCTTTTGAAGGATTTCATTTAATCTTCACTCGATACTTAACACCTTCGAAGTGCTTTAACTAGCGCCTGATTGTAGGATTCAAGATTTTGGCTTCTCTACAACTCTCAACTTCCATTTGGAAAGGAGAGTGAAGCTACGTAATGTCGTTCAATGCATACATTCCACTTGATGTTGACCAAGACGTCGCCCTTCACAATGGGCATGAATATATCGCGAGGATCAAGCATTCACGTTCAGAACTTTTTTCTGCTCATCTCAACCTCCGCGCACTCCTGGATGAAGGGCTGTAGTAGTAGCAGTAGTTGTGGTCTTGCCTGGCCCGAGTTGCTCTCCCTGAGGATTTTGAGCCGGGGGCCCTGGACTTGCTCGAATCAATACTCAGTACAGGAGATGTTCTCCATTCCATGATCTTTCTGTGCCAGTCCTCATTTCCTTCGTAATTGTGATCCAACAGCAGAACATCTCCTGAATGATCTCGATCATTCGAAACATTGGTGCTCAGCTCTGCTTGAGCCTGGGAGGACTGGTTCCTGTGGCACAAATCAGCCTCGACATGCAGATAGCTGCCGGTTCGGCCAGAGCTGAAACTTGAGCTTTGAGGGGTACTTGTTGGAATGATCGAAATATGATGGAGAGCTGAATCACGTCTGTGGACTGTAGTCGGTTGATTGCATTGGAATTGGTTATTGTTGCTTTTGGACGAACTCCAGAAAGGCAAGCGAAAGGCGAAGGGAAGACAGGAGCTCTTGTTGGTTTGATAGTGTGTCTGCGATGCTGTTTTGTGCGGATTCTTCTTTTGAAAGTATTCCTGACGCAGAGCCGATGACATTGTGCAACACCTGTGCAGATAGACACCCGTTTGTTCTGACAGTGGGTCTGCAGGTTGACACGGCCAGGGGGGCACCGATGATCGATGTACAGAGCTGTGAGAGAGGAGGAACGGCAGTCGCAGGTAGCAGGGCGATGGCGACTGAGGGAGGAGGTGGGATATCCGATCTCAAGGGAACAAAACCATCGCAAAGGGGGTGGGGTACAGTGTGAATAAAACAGACTTGGACCCCTTCTGAACTACAGGAAGCAGGGGGTACAATAGAGAAAGTTGCGTTGGTGGATGACGGTGGGGTGGGGTTGGGAGCGGAGGTGTCACTGTAGGATACGCGTAGGGTAGGGGTATGTACCCTACCAGAATAAGTTCGAAGATCTAATAGTAAAAAGGTAGGGTACATTCAGGGATTGTTGTATGGAGGGGGTGGGGTGAACAAGACATGACCTGACCCCAACGTGTAGAGGAGATTCGAAACGCTGCATCTCAAGATTCAATTCAGTCAACCTCCCGGGCCCGCCTCGGCCCCGATCGGTCGATGACTCGCCGATCGGATGACGGGCCCACGGCCGCTCGAACTCGCCCGGGCGCCAAAGGAACTGAGATGACTTTGACCCGGTGACCTGACCGACTTACCGTACCGTACCGTAGTACTCAGGCTAATGGCACTGCCGCCGGTGACACCGTAGAGTCCGGGGCCCGGGGCCCGGCCGAGCCCCCGGTGACTGGCCCAAGACTTACTAGTCAAACAGACTTGCCGCACTGCGGCAACAGTCAATCCTGATAGTGATGAAACTGGTAAAGCCAATGATTTACTGACTTGTGACCCGCCGGTGGCCAAGACTCACATCAATATCATGATGAACATGATCGGAACCTCTCCACCACCCAGCCGCGCTCTCCGGGGCCCGGGACCCTAACACTGAGGCCCAGTGGCCCAGAGTGGACGTTGCCAAGTTGCCAGGCTGCCTCAGTCATCCATCGTCTCAGTGAAGTCTACTGACGGAGCTATAACCTGCCGCTCGAGCTCTCTCCTCCTCCTTCAGGACGTTGAGACTTTCTTGGCGAGCTCCCTCAGCTTCGAGCAACTCTCCTCGTTGTTCTCCGCCAGGTACTGCAGGGCCCGACATCCCACGTTATGCAGCAGCAAGGACATGTGGTGGGTCTGCATCGCCTCCACCACCAGCTCGATCCCTCCGTCCTCCCTGATCTTGGCCTGGCTGACCCTGTTCCTCCTCCCCAGGCGCCCCAGAGCCCGGCATCCAGCTTCCTGCACACGAGGATACATCTTGAAGGTCTTCATCGCCCTCATCACCGCGTTGATCCCTCCCCTCTCTCTGATCTCCCCCTGGCTGTGCGCGTCCTCCCATCCCAGCCAGCCCAGCGCGTCGCACCCTGCCGTCACCAGGACCGCATCGCTCGCAAACATCCTCATCGCCGCTATCACCGCATCGATCCCTCCTCCCTCCTTCACCCTCGTCCGGTTGATCTCGTTGTCCTGCATCAGGGCCAAGAGGGCGTTGCAACCGGCTTCCTGCACAAGGATCGACGTGGCGTGCTCCCTCAGCACTTTGAGCACGGCCTCGATCCCTCCGATGTCTCTCAGCATGTGGCGGAGCTCCTGGTGCTTCAGCGCAATGGTGATCAAGGTCTTCAGTCCCACCTCTACCACCTCTGGTCTGTCCGCAAGCCTCGTCATCGCTGTCACCACGGCCTTCATCCCTGCTTTCAGGCACATGCTGTTCCTGACCTCATCCACGTGTATTTTCGCCTGCAGGATCTCCATCCCGGCTACTTGCACCTCGCAGTCCTCGCCGTTGTACTCCATCACCTTGCGCAGGTAGTCCACAAGCCAGCCCCCTTCCTTGATGAGCAAGAGGTTTCTTGGCGCTACCTCCGCGAGCTTGCCTAGGAACCCCATCACTGCGTGGATCATTGGCAGGTCCTTCATGTGCAGCTTCAGTGCCGTCTGCAAGTCCTCCTGCCGCAGCTTCTGTGCTATCTCCTCCGAGCAGTCCCCGTCGTCCTCCATCAGCATCGTCAGCACCTCCAAGGCGTACCTGAGGGTCTGCCCATGCTTGTGAGCCACCTTGATTGACTCCATCAGGGCCGAGACTCCTACAGCCTTTCTGATCCTCTCCCGGCTCTCCTCGTCGTCCTTGGCAAACCTCCAGATCGCCTCACACCCCAGCCTGTGCATCGCCAGCTTGCTCTTCTGCTGCTCCATCGCCTTCACGATGGCCTCGATCCCTCCCAGAGCTCTGATAGCATGATGATTCTTGAGGTTACGACAGGACAGCCGCAGCAGGGCCTTGCAAGCTGCCTTTTGCGCCGCCGGGTCTTTGGACATGTTGATAGTCAAGACGAGCACATCGATACCTTTCTCTTGCCTGAAGCGCTCGCTTAACCTGTCGTCTGATGTTGCAAGCACTCCAAGCAGTTTGCATCCACAAGCTGGTAAGCTATCTATGTTGAAGTTGTGTTCCAATTGCTGCGAGATTGTTGTTACCAGTACCTCGACTCCCCCTGCCTCGATCAGCCTCCTTTGGACACTCTCGCTGCCATCGGCGAGGAGAAGCATGAACCTCAAACTCTTTGAACGATCTCCCCCATATCGGATCCAACCAGGCTTTCTCATTAGCTGCACCAAAGTCTCGACTACGCCTCCTTCAACAGCCATCAGCTTCGCTTCAGGACCAACATGTTTGACAAGCTTCCGAAGCAATATGAGACCATCAAAACAGAGTTCCTGATTGTCTTGGTGCTTCTTCACAGCCTCCAATACCGTCTTCCCCGCTCCTTGCTCGTAGATCTTTACGCTCGTCTGGACTGACTCAGCACATACCTGTAGTACACTGCATGCAGCGCCCATTGTTCGTGCGTCGTTCCTGTGCACCTCAAAAGTCTTCAAGATCGTCTCCACTACCCCACAATCCGGTATGGCCGTGATAAATTCGTCATACTTGATCTGGTACATTTGCGTAAGCGCGTCATATCCAGCTGCCTGCATCTTCGCATTATCCGCATTCCTCACAATCGCCTCTGTTATCCGTTTGACCCCGCTCAGCACATCTGTGCGAATCCCAATCCATGCCAAGGCCTCGAAGCCTTCCTCTTGTACCTCATAACTGTCCTTATGCCGCTTCATGCACTCCACCACAGTCTCGAGGGCTTCCATGTCCTTGGAGTCATCGCCCAGACTGCCGCCCCTGTCTGCATTTACGGACAAAGCCCTGATCGCGGCAGGCAGTACATGCAAATCGTCCTTGTAACTTGTCAGAAGCTCCAACACGAGGTGAAACACTTCTGGCTCGACGAGCGGGCCGTCGTCTCCCACGTCTATTAGAATGTTGAAGATCATATCACAAGCCGTCACTTGCACCCCAGCAACGTCCTTGAACGCTTTCATCCCTGCCACCACCGCGTCGATACCCCCCGCGTCTCGGATCCTCAGGCCGTTGACATCGCAGCTGTTACAAAACGTTGCCAGCGCCTTGTTGCCAGCGATCAGCACGTTCACTGCTGCCGCATGCCTCGTCATCGCCGTCGACACAGCTTCGATTCCCCCTTCTTCCACGGTCTTGTCCATGGCCTCCAGGCTGCCCTGCACCAGCAATTGCAGTGCCTCGCATCCTGCTTCTTGTACCTCAGCGTTGTCCACCTGCTCCCGCATCTTGTGCAGTATGCTCGCAATGCTCGCTGAGCCCCTCGCTTTCGCGTCGTCCATAAACGCTCGAAAGCTCGCGGTATCCCTTGGGGCCTTCCATGGGAGTACAGGACCAGCACGGTCGTCTGAGCACGGCGAGGCAGGTGCCGGCGCCTCCCTCGCCTTGGGACTAAGCTTCCATGTGTACATGCTTGCGGGGCTTCTCGTTACAAGCTGAAGCGTCGGCCCTCCAGCGCTCGAGTCCTTCATGACCATCTCGTCCAGAGCTCGGTTCATGCCCATGTGACGGTACAGATGCTTCGAGTCCTCGACGATGCTCTCCACCTCTCGTGCTGAGCTAGGCAGCACCACCACCCTCACGGCCTCCCCAAGCTGCCCTGCGTGTATGACAGTCGCGCTATGATTCAGAACCAGCACCCGCAGCCGCGTCGAGCTGCTTGCCGAAGCCGTCAGCCTCTCCACGAGGATCTCGGGGGAGACTTTATCCTTCCCCAGGACCAGGCGCCCCCTCTCGTCCGGACAGTCTACCTGCAGCACGCTCGGCTGGACTCTTGTGACACTTGCTACGAGCTCCTCCAGCCCCTTGTCGCAGCACAGCTCGAAACCCACCCGCCGCGCCATGTCCGCCACACCCACATCGCCCGAGTCCGCTGCTCCGAGGAGGAACTGGCTCTGCATGTGCTCGAGATGCTGCCGGGGCTTGCATGAGGCTCGCTCCCTCCCGTTGGAGAACAGGAGGACCTTACCAGGCTCCTCGCAGCTGAAAATCGCGTCCTGGGGTGCCTGGTGGGCAGCTGCTGTGTTGGAGTTGGCACATGGTGCCTGGGGAGCGGCAGGCAGGAGGGCACACGAGCTGCTCTGCTGGGCCCCTGCCGAGAGGCTCTGCTGGGCCCCTGCCGAGAGGCTCTTGTCTGCAGTGACCTTTGTCTCCATGCTGCCCAGCGAAAGCCAGCCGCAATTGTGATTTGACTATAACTATTTGTACCAGGAGATTTTGGCAAGGGGGGTGGGGGTATGATTTCCTTGGGTTCCAGAGGGTGGGGTGACCTGTTGGGTCATGGCAGGCGATGGCGGGAAGCGAAAGAGAGGCAGAGATGCGGCTCTCGACCCCCCCGTCCCTCATGCTGGATCAAATCTTGACACAAATGCTAAGAGGAGCCGCTCGGCAGGGGCCCAGCAGAGCAGCTCGTGTGCCCTCCTGCCTGCCGCTCCCCAGGCACCATGTGCCAACTCCAACACAGCAGCTGCCCACCAGGCACCCCAGGACGCGATTTTCAGCTGCGAGGAGCCTGGTAAGGTCCTCCTGTTCTCCAACGGGAGGGAGCGAGCCTCATGCAAGCCCCGGCAGCATCTCGAGCACATGCAGAGCCAGTTCCTCCTCGGAGCAGCGGACTCGGGCGATGCGGGTGTGGCGGACATGGCGCGGCGGGTGGGTTTCGAGCTGTGCTGCGACAAGGGGCTGGAGGAGCTCGTAGCGAGTGTCACAAGAGTCCAGCCGAGCGTGCTGCAGGTAGACTGTCCGGACGAGAGGGGGCGCCTGGTCCTGGGGAAGGATAAAGTCTCCCCCGAGGTCCTCGTGGAGAGGCTGACGGCTTCGGCAAGCAGCTCGACGCGGCTGCGGGTGCTGGTTCTGAATCATAGCGCGACTGTCATACACGCAGGGCAGCTTGGGGAGGCCGTGAGGGTGGTGGTGCTGCCTAGCTCAGCACGAGAGGTGGAGAGCATCGTCGAGGACTCGAAGCGTCTGTACCGTCACATGGGCATGAACCGAGCTCTGGACGAGATGGTCATGAAGGACTCGAGCGCTGGAGGGCCGACGCTTCAGCTTGTAACGAGAAGCCCCGCAAGCATGTACACATGGAAGCTTAGTCCCAAGGCGAGGGAGGCGCCGGCACCTGCCTCGCCGTGCTCAGACGACCGTGCTGGTCCTGTACTCCCATGGAAGGCCCCAAGGGATACCGCGAGCTTTCGAGCGTTTATGGACGACGCGAAAGCGAGGGGCTCAGCGAGCATTGCGAGCATACTGCACAAGATGCGGGAGCAGGAGGACAACGCTGAGGTACAAGAAGCAGGATGCGAGGCACTGCAATTGCTGGTGCAGGGCAGCCTGGAGGCCATGGACAAGACCGTGGAAGAAGGGGGAATCGAAGCTGTGTCGACGGCGATGACGAGGCATGCGGCAGCAGTGAACGTGCTGATCGCTGGCAACAAGGCGCTGGCAACGTTTTGTAACAACTGCGATGTCAACGGCCTGAGGATCCGAGACGCGGGGGGTATCGACGCGGTGGTGGCAGGGATGAAAGCGTTCAAGGACATTGCTGGGGTGCAAGTGACGGCTTGTGATATGATCTTCAACATTCTAATAGACGTGGGAGACGACGGCCCGCTCGTCGAGCCAGAAGTGTTTCACTTCGTGTTAGAGCTTCTGACAAGTTACAAGGACGATTTGCATGTACTGCATGCCGCGATCAGGGCTTTGTCCATAAATGCAGACAGGGGCGGCAGTCTGGGCGATGACTCCAAGGACATGGAAGCCCTCGAGACTGTGGTGGAGTGCATGAAGCGGCATAAGGACAGTTATGAGGTACAAGAGGAAGGCTTCGAGGCCTTGTTATGGATCGGGCCAGAAATAGATGTGCTGAGCAGGGTCAAACGGATAACAGAGGCGATTGTGAGGAATGCGGATGATGCGAAGATACAGGCAGCTGGATATGACGCGCTTAGGCAATTATCTGAGATCGAGCCAGACGAATTTATCACGGCCATACCGGATTGCGGAGTAGTGGAGACGATCTTGAAGACTTTTGAGGTGCATAGGAACGACGCACGAACAATGGGCGCTGCATGTAATTTACTGAAGGGATGTGCTGAGTCAGTCCAGACGAGCGTAAAGCTCTACGAGCAAGGAGCGGGGAAGACGGTATTGGAGGCTGTGAAGAAGCACCAAGACAATCAGGAACTCTGTTTTGATGGTCTCATGTTGCTTCGGAAGCTTGTCAAACATGTTGGTCCTGAAGCGAAGCTGATGGCTGTTGAAGGAGGCGTAGTCGAGACTTTGGTGCAGCTATCGAGAAAGCCTGGTTGGATCCGATATGGGGGAGATCGTTCAAAGAGTTTGAGGTTCATGCTTCTCCTCGCCGATGGCAGCGAGAGTGTCCAAAGGAGGCTGATCGAGGCAGGGGGAGTCGAGGTACTGGTAACAACAATCTCGCAGCAATTGGAACACAACTTCAACATAGATAGCTTACCAGCTTGTGGATGCAAACTGCTTGGAGTGCTTGCAACATCAGACGACAGGTTAAGCGAGCGCTTCAGGCAAGAGAAAGGTATCGATGTGCTCGTCTTGACTATCAACATGTCCAAAGACCCGGCGGCGCAAAAGGCAGCTTGCAAGGCCCTGCTGCGGCTGTCCTGTCGTAACCTCAAGAATCATCATGCTATCAGAGCTCTGGGAGGGATCGAGGCCATCGTGAAGGCGATGGAGCAGCAGAAGAGCAAGCTGGCGATGCACAGGCTGGGGTGTGAGGCGATCTGGAGGTTTGCCAAGGACGACGAGGAGAGCCGGGAGAGGATCAGAAAGGCTGTAGGAGTCTCGGCCCTGATGGAGTCAATCAAGGTGGCTCACAAGCATGGGCAGACCCTCAGGTACGCCTTGGAGGTGCTGACGATGCTGATGGAGGACGACGGGGACTGCTCGGAGGAGATAGCACAGAAGCTGCGGCAGGAGGACTTGCAGACGGCGCTGAAGCTGCACATGAAGGACCTGCCAATGATCCACGCAGTGATGGGGTTCCTAGGCAAGCTCGCGGAGGTAGCGCCAAGAAACCTCTTGCTCATCAAGGAAGGGGGCTGGCTTGTGGACTACCTGCGCAAGGTGATGGAGTACAACGGCGAGGACTGCGAGGTGCAAGTAGCCGGGATGGAGATCCTGCAGGCGAAAATACACGTGGATGAGGTCAGGAACAGCATGTGCCTGAAAGCCGGGATGAAGGCCGTGGTGACAGCGATGACGAGGCTTGCGGACAGACCAGAGGTGGTAGAGGTGGGACTGAAGACTTTGATCACCATTGCGCTGAAGCACCAGGAGCTCCGCCACATGCTGAGAGACATCGGAGGGATCGAGGCCGTGCTCAAAGTGCTGAGGGAGCACGCCACGTCGATCCTTGTGCAGGAAGCCGGTTGCAACGCCCTCTTGGCCCTGATGCAGGACAACGAGATCAACCGGACGAGGGTGAAGGAGGGAGGAGGGATCGATGCGGTGATAGCGGCGATGAGGATGTTTGCGAGCGATGCGGTCCTGGTGACGGCAGGGTGCGACGCGCTGGGCTGGCTGGGATGGGAGGACGCGCACAGCCAGGGGGAGATCAGAGAGATGGGAGGGATCAACGCGGTGATGAGGGCGATGAAGACCTTCAAGATGTATCCTCGTGTGCAGGAAGCTGGATGCCGGGCTCTGGGGCGCCTGGGGAGGAGGAACAGGGTGAGCCAGGCCAAGATCAGGGAGGACGGAGGGATCGAGCTGGTGGTGGAGGCGATGCAGACCCACCACATGTCCTTGCTGCTGCATAACGTGGGGTGTCGGGCCCTGCAGTACCTGGCGGAGAACAACGAGGAGAGTTGCTCGAAGCTGAGGGAGCTCGCCAAGAAAGTCTCAACAGCAAGAAACTTGACATAGTCACTGAAAGTCGCTGATTGTGAGCTGCTGTTATGAACCTGTTCAACCCATCCGAGACTCCTCTCCCTCTTGTCTGTGACTAACTCATAGAATCATTTATCGGACTCTCCAAGGCTTTGAGCCCGATCCTCTTCGGGCCGCTCACCGTCACGGAGCCAGGTGCGATCGCCGGACCGGGCTGCGGCGGTGGCCCAGGGCCGCGGCCGGGGGGGGCGGCGAGCTGAGCCGTACACCGTACCGCGGTCACTGGCGGCGCGCTCCGATCGGACTCGGCACGGTTCCGGCACAACTGAGTTCCGAAGTTCAAAGTCACGGTGGCTTCCTTCTTTACTCAAATGCTAGTCAGTCACTCGAAGACTTCAAGGCTCAGTGCCGGGCGGCTGTTGAGTGCCACTCACTGTCAGCCGCCGTCCGGCGGCCCGGTGTTCGATACGGTCGAAGTGCGGAGGCCCGGCCTCCAGTACAATCGTTGTACCGGCGGGGCCTGTAGTCGATTGCTAGTCAGTACTGTGATAAAATACATTTTCACCAAATCAGTACACTATGTATCATTAGTACCAACAATTGAAATGTACCAGAATGCAGTACCACAGAGTGAGTTTGAACAAATTCATCTCCAAATGCGGGCACTTTATACAATTTTAAAAACTTTACTATCATTGTAGCCGCTACAGCAGTCCAACCCCGAGTACCTACCAGTGTAGTAATAGTACCCTGTCGGTCGGTCCGCTGTGGTCCTTTTCGGACCCACCCCACCGTCCATTATCCACTGCCGGAAAATGGCACTACCTACCCCCAACCCTTGCATCCCCCCTAGACACAACCCCGGTAACAACCCCCCTACCCACCCCTAAACCCACCCCATACACCCCTACCTATGTTTGTCCTTGTCTGCCGCGCCGTCCATCTCTGTTAATAGAATTAGAACCCCCGCTCCTACTACGAGACTCATCATGACCCCACCCCATTGACAAGCACCCCCTGACCTCATACTAAAACTACTTGAAGTCACCCCCTAATCTGCCCACATGTCTCTACCCCACCCCTCTCACATCACAAAAAAATGTCTATGACTACCCTACCCTTTCGGATGGTGTAGAGAGAACACCACCCACCTGTTCCTCCCCTTGAGATATTCCGTAACCAGGACCGGTCATGATATAGGACCCCCTCAACATCAGAAGCAACCCAGGATAAACCTCCATTTATGGGGACGGAGTCGGATTGCCCTGCTAACTCTCCCAACTCAAGGTCTCCTCCTCCCTCCCCTCCTCCAACTTACCTGTCGTACTGGACCCCCTCTACTTCCTTTCCTTCCTTCTCCTCTTCCTCCTCCTCTCCAACGCGCTTGCCAAACCCAAGCTCGTCGGTTTCTGCTCGGCTTACCCAAATCCTTCCAAGCACAAGTCTCAGGGTTGTTCAACTTTCCAATCGCCCAGCCTCAGCTTCACCCTGTCAATACTTTCTTGAAGGCGATCGGCAGTCAACGGTCTGTGCTCGTACAGTACGCACGTTCAATAGTTGCCGTCCAAGTTGCTCTTCGGCGAACATAGTCTGTTCGGTCTCTTTCAAGCATGCCGGAAAATTATCATTTCGCCGACCTCACAACCATCTCGGTATTGCAATTTTTCATCGAAAGAATACATGGTGAATGAGTCTGTCCACAGACGAGTCAGCAGGACATTCATAAGGATGAAATGTACGCGAGAGCTTTGCAAGCAGGTAAAGATTGATCAGTCGTAACAAACTTCCGTTGCCTTCACGCAAGACGCACGCAAGACGATTACAACTCTGTAACACAACGTGCTGCAGCACTGCAACGAGAAGCTTATGCTGCTGAAGTACGATCTTACAACCACAACACGGTGATACACTGAAGAAACAGAGGTTGGGATGCTTGCGATGACCGATTCTCTCGTAGGGTGCGAATCGTGACCATGCAGTAGCGCCAACCCAACCCTCGAACATCAATTCAATGATGGAGGTGCGAGAAACCAATTTGTCTTGCATGCGAATGTGACGCCACCTCCTCAGGATGGGTTGATTGATGGTTTGGAGATTGACTTGGGGTCAGCAGCCTGCGCCTGCGTCAGTACGCATCCGCTCACTTCCTTGCAGTTACACCAAGATGTTCATCACAAGACAAGAGCTGAAAGAGAAGGGGTATGAAAAATGGTTGTTCGATTTCTGCCTCTATGACTCCCTGCAAGGTTTTGTCGTGGAACGTTGGTCCTGTACACATGTCCATGTTGTATCAAGGGTATGTTGCTTTTGAGGTCAACTGGGATGGTAACGGTTCTGCTTTGCAAGGTGTTGGTTACGCATTCCAAACGTTTGCTGAGACTGCGAAGAGGTGTCCGTTCACGAGCCTTATCACGTGAGAGCGGACAACTCTTGCGATGAGGTCTAACTTGCATCATCAGGTTTGCAGACATCGTAATTTTCATTGTTACAATATCGATTTATGGTTTCACTTCACCAAGTGCGAACAACATGCTCGGCCCATCAGGAGAAGCTTTCCTGAAACTTGGTGCAAAATGGACTCCTTTGATCCTACAGTGAGCGTGTCCTGGGTTTATAAGGACCATCCTGACCTGGTCCGCCAGGGGAGAAGTTTGGCGACTCGTGGTCCCGATATTCCTTCATGCGGGAGTTGTGCACATCCTAGCAAACATGTGACCTCTTCTTTGACGACTCGCTGAGCATGATGGTTCTCTGGGTAGGTATGCCCAGATAGTGGTCGGGTATAGCTCGGAGACAAGGTGAGGGACCTCAGGCTCGGCTGAAACTCTTTCCGCTGACGGCACCTTAGCTGGGGCACGCCCACCATCGCTGTCATCTACTTCGTGTCTGGACTAGCTGGAAACATCGTCTCCGCCTATTTCTCGCCTGGGGTGATTAGCTTGTTGACGTGCGAGCATATCGCTGAGAATCACAAAGATCCTCTCGGTGGGAGCGTCCGGAGCGATCCTCGGCGTCATTGGTGCGGAAGTTTCTCAGATGATAGCGACTTGGCAGAGGACACAAGCGCATGTAAGCCTCTTCAAATGTCTTGTTGACGGTCGTGCTGAACGCTCTTGCAGTTGCGGATGTCGAAGGCGAAATATCTTTTTTTCTCCCTGCTGATCCTCGTGATCATCGGAGTAGTTGAGCATGATCGCGTGAGTACTCGTTCTTCGCTGACGAGTGGCTTTGACGAGCTTCTTGTCTCACAGGTCGACAACTTCTGTCATGCGGGAGGGTTCGGGTGCGGCTTTTGCATGGGCCTGCTCCGTTTCAATCGGGACTTTGAGTCAAAGCCTCGCAAGATCATCGCCGGAGTTCTCGGGTGAGTCGCGCGACCTCAGCAAGAGCTCTGCTCACGGTCTGCTGGCAGTGTCCTGGGGTTGGCAGGCCTTGTGGCGATCCTCGTCGTGCTCTTCTTGCTACATGGAAGGCCGTTTTACAGCGGGTAGGATGCAGGACACCGGGACCCAAGCTCACAGCCGGCGCGAGGTCCGAGCTCGCGAATGATTTATATCAAACACGTTCACTGTACATCCAGACCTTGTCTTCTTCCGCTACACCCAGGCTCCTCTACCTTCTGCTCCCTGTGCTCCTCTCAGTCACACAGCTTAGCCTGAGCTATCCACACCCACTGGCGACTCCGACCCGATCACCTTCAGCTGCATCGCATGCTTCAAATCATTGAATGCCATCTGAATTTCTTTCGCTGCTCCGACAGTGATCGGACAGGCTGAGGAACTTCCGAAACTTCCTGACCATAAGTTGGTCTTGTAGCCGCAAACAGTTAGTACTTGGAGGATTCAGTAGAATCATGAGGAAGTCACTGCTATCATGATCGGATGATCCGGATTCGGAAGTTCACGAACGCAGTGCTGGGATCAGCGGCCACGGGCCCCCGGGCCCCGCGCCGGGCCGTTCCGTGGCAGAGCCTGGCAGCCGCGGCCTGCATCCGTCCGACTGGCAGCCGGGCCTGCATCCGTTCGACTGGCAGCCGGGCCCGGCTCAGCCCTGGCGGCCCGGCACGCGGCGGTACGGTACGGTAGTAGCCTAGTTGCGGCCTACCGTAGTACCGGGCCCGGGCCCGGCCCGGCGCCGGCGACGCGGCCTGCAGTCACGGTCGGATCGAAAGAACCGTTATTTTTGTAACGGAGAAGAACGAACTGTCCGACGATGGTGGCAGGGATGATTACGTCGGGAGAAAAGCAGGGCGGTGGGGAGAGGAAAGGAGGAGGGAGGGAGGAGGGAAGGAGAGGGGAGAGCAGATGAAGTAGAAGAAACCATAGTGAAGGGGAGGGCAGGGAGGAAGAGACTCTTAGGAGAGGCCGATGCAAACGGTGTGGGCAGGTAGAGCTCCAGGTTTGCGTTGAAAAATTTCTGAGGAATGATGATGGAGGAGAGGAGCGGATGATTGCCTCTGATGTTCTTTGCGCGTATCATGTCGTGCTGACTCGTGTCAAGTTGCCAGGGAGACGCTGAGCCCTTACCAGATGAAGTCGGATACGTTCTTGCGACCCTGACTCCCGCGCTGTCATGGAGGCAGCGCCTGACATGCAGTGCGATACTGAGAATGAGTGGAGGAAGGCTAGGTGTGACGAGGGGGAAGGGGCGTTTTCAGACCCTCCGCTGTATGTGGATGTCCAACCTGAGCACCATGAGAGCCCGACGTCGGGCATGACGGGGATCTTAGCGTCGCCCTCGATGCTCGTGAACGACTCATCGGACACGAGCATGGTGAGGAAGACGCACGAGCATGATCACAAGGAGCGGAGGCGGCCAATTCGCACCATGCCGTCCGTCAGAGGAGAAACGGTTGCCACGAATCCTGCGACTGAAGGGAAGGACAAGGTCGCCCCGGCTACGTCCCTGGTTCCGAAAGTTTTGATTGGTTGGGTCGTGCTGGGTCGGTTCAAGTTGCTGAGGGAGCTGGGGAAGGGATCCTTTGGGCACATCTTTCATGCCCGAGACATTAACACCCAGCAGGAGGTGGCCATCAAGGTAGAGAAGAGGGACATCAAAGTACCGCAGCTGAAGCAGGAGGTGAACGTCTACAAGCACCTGAGGGGGATGCCGGTGAGTGGCGAGCGAGCATGTCAGGAGGAGCTGCGATGGCACTGAAGCCATGCTTGCCCTCTTGCTGCAGGGATTCCCGAGGCTGATCGCGGAGGGAGAGGAGAACAATCTGAAGATGATCGTTATCGACCGCCTCGGGCACAACATCGAAGACCTCCTTGAGCTGTGTGGAGGCCGCTTTTCGCTCAAAACTGTCCTGCTACTGGCAGATCAGATGCTGCTGAGGACGCAGGTGAGCAACACTTGTCACCTCTTACCCTCGCTCTCCGGCTATGCTGACAAACTCGCAAGCAAATGCATTCCCGTGGCCTGTTGCACCGAGACATCAAGCCAGACAACTTCTTAACGGGGCTAGGTGGGCTCTCTCGTGTGACTGTTTCCGTGTTTCAGAGCTGAAACGTGCGTGCAGGGGAGAATGCAGGTACGATCTATGCGGTCGACTTCGGGCTTTCGAAGTTCTACATAGACCCGAAGACTGGGAAACACATCGGGCAGAGGGAGAAAAACCTGACGAGCCTGGTTGGCACTGCCAGATACTGCTCGATCAACTCGCATCATGGAGCTCAGCTGAGCAGAAGAGATGACCTGGAGACGATAGGATATGTCTTGGTCTACCTGGCGTGTCGTGGGCTGCCATGGCAGGGGGTGAAAGCCGCCAACCTGCCAGAGAAGTATGAGAAAATCGGGCAGATCAAAGAGCAGATCTCTACGACAAAGTTATGCGCGGGGCTTCCTTCTTGCTTTCAAAAGTTCATAGACTACTCCCGGCAGCTCGCCTTCGAGGAGGAGCCGGACTATGAAATGTGCAAGGAGATGTTCAGGTCGACGTTTCAACTATGCAGGCTCAAGGTAACTGCACCAGCAACAGCACCAGCACCAGCACGTCTACCTTCATTGCCAACTCCTCGACTATCTCCATCCACACTTTCACAAACTCCTCGACCTCCTGTACCTCTAGCACCACAACATTGCCCTCCTCTCCCTCTTTGCTCGAGCTCATTCTGACTCGCTCATCTTTGCTGCCAGAACGATCGAATTTTCGACTGGACAGGAATGTTGGACAGGGGAAGCCTGACGGTGACGATCATCGAGGCGAGGAACCTTGTAGGCAAGGAGACCGGGGGCACGAGCAACCCGTACTGTACCCTATGGCTCAGGTGATTTCTGATGACGTCATCGTCATGCTCAGTCGCTGAACCAGCTCATCCAGCTCCCTCGGAAAGAAGCGGATGGCAAGCACCAAGGTCGTACATGCCGATCTTAACCCTGTATGGGAGAATGCCTTCGACTTCGTGGCCACGGAGCCAGCGGATGTTCTGATGATCGAAGTGTGGAGCAAGAGCGGGCGTCTTAGCATGGTCCGTCCTCCCCCCTTGTGTTCCCTTGTTTACCCTGTTGCCCCAGGACAAGTTTCTTGGAAGGTTACAGCTGGCCTTGGCGCAGTTGCAGAACAAGGTGAGTTGCTGGCGGCCTTCCTTCCGTTTATGCCGCCCTTGTTACTTGTCGAGGACCAACGATTCGCTGTCCTCGGCTCTGGAAGTGACTGTTCCCTCCACAGACAACCAAGGACGAATGGTGTGCTCTCGAGAAGAGGTCCCCGAAGTCTCGCGTGTCGGGTAATGGACTCGCTCTTGTCTCTCTCGCAACCCCTTGACGAGCTCGCACAGGGGAGTTGCATGTGAGGTTGTACCATCGGAGGGGCCTGGATGACAAGTAGCATGTCGATACAAGGGCAGAGACTGTGCTTTTTTATGTTTTGGAAACTGTAAATCTAGCAAATGAATTCTTTCTCAGGGCGATCAAATTGTTTTCTAGTTCTTCTTTTGCCTTCGTCAGTTTCTTGTGCTGTGCTGTTTGGCTCTTAATCGTCCTCTCAACCTCTTTTAGCTCCAGCCGGATTGCAAAGTTGTTCTGATTGCGAGGTTTGTCCAGCTGCTGCCGGAGAGAGAGCTTTCGGATCTCCAGCCCCATGATCGACTTGTTGAGTGCCGAGAGGTCTTCGGCCATCTTTTGGAGCTCCTTCGAACTGCTACCGGTCGACGAAGCTTTCCCACCATCGTCTGGAGCTGCAGCGAGGTCAAACATCCTCCCACACAACACTTGACGCCTCCAAGGTCACCTGGAGTGCTCGACTGCAAGCCCTCTTCGCTGTTTCTCTTCAAGACCGGCCGAAGTTTGGATACCGTGGCCGTTGCATTGACTTCCAGAGGCGTCATCACACTATTCGTTGTACTGTTTTTTGATGGCTGGCACAAGTCGCAAGCGAACTTGTCTGAGGCTTGACCCATTTCCACCTCTCAGGCTTCTTTGTGAAGGTTCTCTTGGTCTCTAGGAAGGATCACGTTGTTCCCCGTCAATATCGATCGCCCTGTCGCTGTATTCTTTGCAGCAAGTATAAGTCCCAGTCGCAAGAGGAGAAGAGGCTAGAAGACTTCAGAGCCTAGGGGAATGAGGAGAGGAGAGGGAGAGGAGAGGAGATGAGGAGGGAGAGGGAGAGGAGATGAGGAGAGGAGGGAGGAGATGAGGAGGGTAAGTAGCTGGCGTTCCGCGTCTCTCGCCGGATCCGTTCACCCAAGGAAAAGCGCCACTACGGTCCGAACATGTTTTGCACCGCACCGTACCCCCCACCCACTGTAATAAATCTTCACCCCATGATTTGTAGTCAAATGGACCGGTTCGAGACCGAATTTGCATCGCCCGTACCCCCTCACTCTATTTTTCGAGCGATCTAATATAAGTTTCCACTAACCCCCACCCTCCCACCCTCTCCGATATCAATGACCCCCACCACCTTTATAAGGACTCAAAATACATCTTACTACCGGGTTAAATCGTCAATTTCGACCACCCACCCAAGAAAAGTCACATCGAACCTTTCCGGTTCCGACTCTACCCGTTAAACTCATACCCCCCCTTTTGAGTTTCCTTTTGTCAATAAAGGGGTGGGTAGTTAAAGATCACCACTACCCCTACTTTGTAGGGTGTCAAACCACCCCGCAACAACCACACAAGCCTGCCTCAGTGCAAAGATTGGGACCAATGAGCAGAAATATGAAGCGCGAAAATCTGCGGCAATGGGGGAGGGAGAATGGGAGGAGAGGAGGAGGTAGACGTGTGTTCAGCACGAGGAATCGAGGAGGTGATGGTAGGACGATCAGATATATATTCATGTCCCTCCTCCTTGACCCCCTCCCCTTCCTCCTCCTCCATCGCACTACCCCACATCACCAACACTACTACCGCGTGTTTCCGTCCCTGGCGTTCTGTATTGATTTGATTTCTCTTGCAGTTGTCCACTCCCCATGAGCAGGATATCTTTCAGGTGACCAAGATGTCTCAGATATCAATCTTCAACCCTCCGCTCTCACGTCACCTTGCCTTCCTGCCGTGATAGTTTCACAGATCCAAAGAGCTCGAGAATCAGATATCTCGGCGAAAGGCTTTCCTTGGCCCATCTTTGTGAGAACATGTTGAGGATCACCGTACAAACTTGCGTGACACAAGTTTTCATCTCAGGTCTACACATTATCACAACCCCATCCTAGTGGAAAGAGGTAAGAAGTGAAAGTATGGCCGGCCTGTCTCGTTGAAGGATATTCGGGCAGGTAGAGGAACGTTCCTGATTGATTTCAGAGATCAGGTGCGTGCAGACGATGAGGACGAGGACGAGGATGATGAGGATGAGGATGAGGATGAGGATGATTGATATTCTGTTCATAGCAGTGTAGGCAGTGACGATGCTGCTGCTCCTGATGATGATGATGATGATGATGATGATGATGATGATGATGATGGAGATGATGGAGATGATGATGATGATGATGGTAGGAGTAGTAGTAGTAGTAGT